AGAAGTCCCACGGGAGTCTTCAGGAGTCCTGAGAAATCCCTTGAAAGTCCCACCTGACTCCTACAGGATCCTCCAGGATCCTGTAGGACCCCGTGACAGGAGTCCCGTGGGAGTTTTGCCGGGAGTCTCGACTAGGGGACGCGATTTGAGAGAATATTAAATTGCACTAATTCTGTAATTTTCTTAATCAATCTTCAAGTCTTAATATGTTTTCCAAGAACAGACAAGTGAAATAATATAGCAAATACTAGATTTGGACCTGGTAATTTTCTTGAAAGTCTGCAATGAATCACGCCGAAAATAGCCTAAAAATACATTCCTACACTTAAATATTCTTTGAAATTTGACTAGTATAATTTAAATAAATACTGCTACAATGACTATTCTTGTCAGAGTATAAATAAAAATTTAAATGAATTTAGGACCCTGATTAATAATCGCGTCAAACGGGGAAAGATGTCGCTTTGGATGAATGAAGTTTCTTCGATTTTATTAAATCATGAATATTTGATTTTTCAGATAGTTGTTTATCTTCTAGAAATCCGTATATATGTATCAGTTTTCTTCAATTTCAGATATCTTGAGTTGTTTAAAATGACAGATTCTCTGCATATTCCCGAATGGAAAAGTACAGCAGCAACTTTATTCAATCCTTATTTAAATGTTTCAAATACAAAAGTTCCTCGTACTCCTATGCCACGTGCTTACACTTTAACAAATCGAACATATAGCGACATAACATCCGATAATTTATCAGCGAATAATAGCACAAATATTTGCAATAATACGCGAATTGATGTTGTACCAACTAATATTAAATCACAAGTTGTTTCAAAACGGAAACTTAATACATCTGATGATGTTGCCATTTATGTACAACAAATGAGTCAGTACATTTATCTCATACTCTATTGAAAAGTAAAATAATTATCTTTTTTTAGTTCATTCACAATTTTGTGGCAGAAGTGGTACTCCAAGTGATGTTCGATATGATGATAAAAAACTTCGAACAAATAAAAGCCGCATAACAAGTGGGAAAAGTGAGAGACATTCAGCAAAACAACAAAAACAGCATGGTAAGTCGAAAAATGTTGCTGATATATATATATGTTACTTATTCTTTTATATTTTCAATTTAGATCCTGATTGTCCGTTTTCTCAACCATTAAACGATTTTTTTAGTGCATCAGAACAACAAATGTCTCGTATGTTTGAAAATGACTACAGTTCAGATTCAATTGATGTTGAAAATGTAAAAGTAGTCAGGTGAGAAAGAATAAAACACGTAGTAATATAGATGTTTCTTTCACGTATATATGTAGTTAGAATCTTTCTTCGTAATATTAACTAATACATCTTTCAGTCGCACAAAACCCAGTGTAACATTGGGTGCAATGTGTGGCATAGCCCTCACTATAGGTGATAAAATGGCTCAGAGCAAAGAAAAGGTATACGTTTGTTACACACGAATGTATGTGTCACAGTGCATGTTCTCTTTTCGTTGGATTTGGTTGTGAAAAAATTAATTAACAGTATTCATACAAAAAGTGTGTAACGTTTTTTATGAATATTTTCAATAACTAAAAAGACGTTTTATACAATATTATCCATTTGCTTCTAATAAATTTTATATTTTTATCTTAAGTTTTGTGCTTTTTAACAACCATCTAATAATTAAGATAGATTTTTTCCTAAGTGTAGATTCCTTCGAAGCTCTTTTTTTCTAACCCACAAAATAATTTGACTTAATAGTATAAATTCATTTGGAGAATCTCTTACATCAGCCAAAAGATTAATAAAATAATTTTTAAAATTTACATATTCTTTTATATTTCCTTAAAACATTTTAGAAAACTAATTTTTCTTTTTTGTTTTAACCATATTATATACAAATATGTTCACCAGCGTGCTTTGATTTCATTAGATTTTCTTACACATTTTGGAATGCTTATTTGGTTTGAATTATCCGTTATAATTAACCTTCTCAGATTAATTTTTTTGTATTTGTAATTTTAGGTTGGTCTAGAAGCTATTCGTGGTTTTCGCCTTCCATCAGCTCGTCTTCAATATGACTCGTATGAACATCATCCAATGACTGCAGCGGCTGTCCTCGGAGAACGTGAAGAAAGGTTCGTAGTTCATAAATGATTATAACAATTTTTTCTTCATCTCTCTTCTTGCAGTGAGCCTCTTCGTATTGCCGATGTATTGAATGATGATAGTTTTGAACAACAACAAATGATTGAGATAGTGAATGATTCTTACAATTCTTCTCGAACAAGTCTTCAAAAACGACAAATTAAATCATCATTAAGTGAAAAAGAAAATCATAACAGTGTTAATCAGACAAGAAATACACCAGTCAAACATCGCTCACAATCATCTCGTATATTCTCAAAAGGAAATGATATTCAAAAGCTCAAAGATTGGAGAGGAAAAATAACGAGACCTAATTTACCAGAGTAAGAAAAAGATCAGTGATGTTTAGAAATAGCGGTCAATTTGCTTTAATTTTTTTCAGTGTAAGAAGTCGATTAAAACGACAAAATTCTGGCATTATATCCCCGCCAAGACCATGTACAGCTGCGAGCACTCTGTCAAAATCTCGACCAGATTCGGTTGCATTAAATTCAACTGATTCTATATTTGTTGATACAACAAGTAGAAAAGTAAGAAGATCATTGATTAAGTTACTGTAACTTTAACTTTTATTGAATGTTTATAGAATACATTTGACCGCGAAGACAATTCTCCAACTACAAATGCTAAGAGTGCACCAACTAGTTCATTGAAAAGTCCAGGTAAACTAACACGACGACAACATCCGTTAAATGTACGAATTGGACAAACACTTGTACGATCTGTGTCAGATGAGGTAAGATATATGTCCAAACATAAAGTTTAAAGATATTAAAAGAAAAATAGAACTAAAGGACTAACACTATCGTTTCACGATTAGCTTAATTACAATCCATTTATAGCGTAATTCGACTTTAATCTTGATTAAAGATGATTATCTTAATTGCGACTAGTGCTCATCGTGGTTAACTTACGTCTAACCGCGCCGATCTCGACTAACGAGAGCCATAATGAACAATATAAGAGCAAAACTTACAAATTTTACTTGAAGGCATCATTGACAGTTGACAATTTTTAAAGATAAATTTCAAAAAATTTTTGATTTCTTTCAATTTGCTAAACAATAAGATTGCACTATTCTGAAATGAAAAATGTTTTTTTAAAAATTTTCACTTTTCAGAAACTAGTGTAAGTATTCAAAGTCAAACTAGTCTACTTTTGTTCTAAATTGTTCGAAAATAGCTTTAGGTGAATGGATCGGGTTCTATTCATTAAATAATAATAAAAGTCGCTCTGTTTATGTAAGCTTTATTTAACTATATCAGTCATCTTTTTCGGTTTTCTAGAAACTGACTAGTAACAGTAAAACGAACACCGAAACTCCCAGTGGTAAGTTTCTTATTGCATTTTACTTTAAAAGACATTTATTGTTCACACTTTTTTTTATAGATCGCGATCCATTCACACCAACTCGACAAATGTTTAGTGAAATGACTGGTACAGATAATCTGACTGGTGACTATGCGCCGCGTCCGACACCGGACGATGCAGTGAGTAATACTCAACTCATTGTGTATTAAAGAAACTTTCAATATCTGATCTCTTCTTCAGGGTCGATCATCAGGTTTTACCTATTCTACTGAAGATCAATTAATGGTAAAACCAACACATACTCGTCTGACGTCATCTGAAGATTTAATTGATGATATGCCCACAGTTGAAGTCCGAGGAAATTATAAATTAATCAAAAGTTCAACAGGTCAAGTGTATAAAACTATCGATTCTTCTTATTATCAACAACATCAACATCAATCAAGTACAGCTAGTAAACAATTTCCTGCTACAAGTCAATTGAGTGAACTAAACTTAACTCAGTTAGAACTGTTAGAAAATTATGATCCAGGGATATCCGAGAAAATTGGTGCTGCTTTTATACCTGTACAAATATTAGCTAGACCGAAAGATGCAGCTGATGTGTGTTCAATGACTATTAATGAAATTGAACAAAAGTATCCGAAGTATGTACTATCTATTCTCTTTTAAATCCTTCGAAGATTATTTATTACAAAGTAAAAACTTCTGCTTTAGTCACTATCTACTGTGCTAAAATATAAACGACTTTTGATTTTCTAACAGTGCTTTAATCTATTTTTAGAAAAAGCGGTCAACCAGTATTTAATCTTCCTCGATCACATACATCAATTAATATTGCTCAAACTCTTCAATTAACAAAATCAAAACGTTTGCCTGTAACACGTCAAACAACGTTAGAATGTAGGTCAAATGAAGAAGAAATGAAATCAATTCTAAATATAGTACCGTATGAAAATCAACAAGCGTTAGTTATTCGTACTGTTGCACCACCTCCACCAACAAGAATAAATGATTTTTTACGGCATACAAATTCCACAAGAACATCATGGAAAAATAATCAAACAAATTCAAATTCAAGTGAAGATAGAAATTATTTAAGTGTACTCGCAAGATCATTAGATGAACAATGGGCCATTTTTGATCAGTAAGCGAATAAAATCATCTTGTATAATCTCAGACTTTGAGGTCACAAAATTTTTCTAAAAACTAGAACGTTTATGTGTTCATTTTTATCTTCAAGATTATCGACTACTGGAGAGAGAGAAAGAGAATGATTGACTTTCTAAAAGTGTGTTTGAACTGATCATGATGTAATCTGTTTTTAGGTTACAAGAAGACGAAAGAATGCAGTTATTAGAGAAGAATTTGAGTGTATTAAATATCCGAACAAAACAGGGTAAACATCAATAAAAAATCATCAATTTTGTATTCTGATTAGTATTCATTTTTAGAAGTTGTTCAAATGCGTAAAAGTCCCACGAAGAAATACTATGGCGATACAAATCCTACTGTTCGTCCTGTTAAAAAACTATCAATAATTACGGGAAATGATCAAAATCAGACTCAACGCAATAAATTAAAACAAGGAAGACCAATACCCAGCGTTTTTCTCACACAAGATCCTGTAGGTTTATGTTTCAATCAGAGTACGGCATAAGCCAGAAAAATTTTCGTCCCGATCTGATCATTCTACGAAATTTTTTGGTTTCAAATCGAGACTTTTTTGAAATTCTTGTATCTGTAATGCTTTCACTGACTAACGGGCGCAAATGTATTTCTAACGCTAATACTTGTATTTCTATGACTTCTTGTCCTTATTTTTTTAATCTTCAAGCCCTAAGGTGCTTTATAACGTGCTACGGACTAGATTAGACTTATTCTTCTGTTATGTTATTCAAGAAAACGTTTTGACCCGATTGCTCTTAGACATTTTCTAGTTCAATGTGTGCGGATCTTTGGATTGAATGTGTTTAAAATTTTATCATAGATTTTATTTTGTTGTAGGATGAAGCTCAGCATGCAGCATCAATTTATTATCAAGCGCGTAAAGACACCGATATTAAACGTGTTTTTAAAGGTTTTGTTGAGCAAAATTATTCTAAAAGATTATCGGCCGAAGAAAGAAAACGTCGTGAACAAGAGCAAATGGCTGCTATTAAAATTCAACGGTCAGTCTAGTCGATAGACTCAATTGATAATAGTAAAAGTTTTTCTGTTATATTTTCCAGAGCTTATCGTGATCATCTAAAACGTCGAACATTAATAGAAAATCGTTCACCTGACACGTCATGGAAAGATCATTATCGACAACACCGGAGAGCTTTGTCTGCGAAAAAAGCCGTGCATGTTGAAGATAATATATTCGAACAACAAAGGTAATAGTTCATCTTTTGCTAATTAAAGTTTATTCTGACTTGTTTTGTTTGTAGAATTCATCACGAGAACGATGCCTATTTGAATAAAATAAATGATACTGGACCTTCTGTTCAGATATTTGCGTAAGTTATTCACATAGTTTTTTTGCTTTCTAATAAGTTTCATTCTATTTTATATTCTTTGTAGAAGTTTCAATGATATTGATGAGAAATTTTCTCGAAAAACTCTTGCTCGTGCTGCAATTTGCATTCAACGATGGTGGCGTGGTCATTCAGTTCGAAATCGTTTGAAAAATCTTAAGCAAGAGGTAGACATACTATAATGACGTTTTTTGAATTTGAATTTTACTTTACTCTGTTCATAGGTAGCTCGAGCTGGTTTCACCTGGACCAATTTTTCACAACGATATCGCCAAGTAATTCGTCGAATACAAGAACTAAGAGGAGTTGAAAAGCCAAAATTTGTTTTTAATACAAGTGAAGCACGTGCATTTTTGATACATGAAAAAAGTAAGTGTTTTATTAGTCATCAGAGAATTATGATTAAATCTTATCTTTTTTTGCTACTAGAATTGACCACCATTTGCAAAGCATTGTCGTTTAATAATAAAATTGATGTAGCAGATATAACCAAATTGTTTGAATATTGTGATTTGTCAGCAAGCAATTATGAAATTAAAGAAGCATTAGACGCAGTAGCATTACGTAGGTTTTTTTAAAATCTTTTTTGGATAAAATTAGAACGAAAAAGAATTATGTGAAAACTTATAGAACAAGATATATTACACATTGCAAGACTTTCTTTAACTCTAGCATCTTGTAATGATCACTGGGATCAGAATTCCTTTAGAAAGCGATTCAACATTTTTGAAGTTGCACCATTTTAGATTATTCCGTGGATCTGAATGAACCGTTTAGTCGGACAATGGCACTCGATGTTCTCTATTACGTCTATCCACCAAAAGGAACTAAATTACTCATATCAAGAAAATCAACATGGGTGAGGCCAATTGTAGATGGTGAAGATGAAAGTGCTTTGATAGGTAGGTAATTTTTTATAAATAGCTTCATTAGTTGAGCAGTAGTAGTTGAATGTAGACTGTTCCTGCTTTTCAGGTACACCTTATTTGGAACCAACAGATATGAATGTGATCTATAAATTTTTGTCGAAAGAAGCAAAAGAAAGGGACCAACAATAAGCTCAAATACCAGTGATAGCTTAATAAAATTTAGAATCCATGTAGTACAACAGTGATAGATTGTTGTTAATCTTCTTTTTATTGTACATAAGATTTGTATTAGATCGTAATATTTTTCTACTTTTTTTTTATTTTTCTAATGTTTTTTTGTATACAAAACTTATTCTGTTGTTATCCTGTTTATTTCAGAGATCGTTCTGGACACTCTTTTTCGGGTCCAGTTCGTATTGGGACTTTACACTTTAAGCCACATTTGTAAACTAAGTCCTTCTAGCAACTAAAGTTTAATGTGTGATACGCAATACGGCAAAGGGTGATATATCTACAGTAGCTAGAGGACAAAACTTCATGCAGAAATCATTTATTCGTGATGGCTCACGTCTGTGAAATCTCTTGTCGAGTAGCATTCGACTAACTCACAAGTCAAATGAGTTTATTGAAAGTTCAGTATATTTCGAGATTTAAAATTCCAACGATCAAAGGTTGAAAATGTAAGATTGATTTTACACGTTGTCGTGTGGATTTTCCACAATTGATTGGTATTTTATATACAAGGCCGTTAGTAATACCTCCAACTTGTAAATGTAGTACTTGCAAGGAGACCTTTAAACATTTTTTCACGAACTGTATCCTGTGTGAAGGGTTTAGAGAACAAATGTTTCATATGTTAAGATTGAGAAGCGTTTTGAGAATTGAATATATTTCTCCAGATCATGTTTCGCTATGTGGAGATACAATAAATTCTGTAAAAAAGACCTTTTAATCTATAGAAAATATGTTTTGCATTTTTTTAAACTTCTCATTTTCGGCTTGAATGTATGTCGGAGTCTGAGATTGATTACTACATACGCAGGGGCTCTCATACACTGTACCTCTCCCTCTCTAAGCAACACTCTTCCTTATTCTTTTTATTTGTTTTCACTCATTATTTCCCTTAAGTAGTATTTCTTTCTTTATCCTCTTTCCTTTACTCTGTGATAAATACCTGCTATTGGTCTTTGTTTTTCATATTTTCTTTCGCTTTATGTTGAATGTTTATCTTAATAATTTTGTCGTTTAGTTGCGCTTATAATGTAGATATTTCGTGATTTGCCTTTCTCTGTTCTTTATTGTTATTATGTCTAACTCGAAAATAAATCAAAATAACGTGGTTTTGTTTGGTTTTTGAGCTCTTTTGATTGGTATGTTTGAGAAAAATTAATCAAGTTTAAGTTTCGAATTTAAATTTAATTAACACTAATCGAGAAGTTTGAATTTAATAATTAAAACATTAAACTTTAAAAAACATTTTTTATGCATAAAAATTTCTATGGAATCGTCTAGTTTTGCTTTTTTCAACTCTTGTTTAGCAAGCACAAAAGGAAAATGGCTTAAAGTTATGTCGGCCACTCTAGGTAAAAGCGATGCTTGTTGAAAGGATTCTGAGCTGAATTTCTTTTTTTCAAATCGCTTGTTCATTTATCGTGTGTTTTTCTAATTAGTAACTGTTTTATGTCTATCTCCACAAGTCATCAACAAACAAACTGAATGCTGTTCAATTGAGTAACGACGAAGCATTTGATATTCTGTTGTTGGGTATTTCTGAATCATAAAGTGTTAGATGATGACAACTATCAGCCTCCTATCACTATTAAATCATCCTTTTGTCTTTTGTCTGGAACCAGTCTGACAAAATGAAGGGCTCACGCCTACTACCACAGCATGTTCTACACAAATCAATAATCCTAACCAAGTTTAAATATTGTATTTATGTTAAAGCCATAATTTGGTTCAATTTTTTACAGAAACTTTGGTTTTGCAAATTTACCAGTTTGAGAGCAAGAGATTAAATGAATTGCACATTCCAGCCCAATATTTCCCATACACAGGTGGGTAAAACAGCTGAGCGTAGGCATAAGGAGGAAAAAATCTAACGTACTTTTCTTTTCGTCGTGAAAGGAGGCTGGCTGACTCTTCACTTACATATGTAAAAGATAGTCCAAAACCACCTCAAGAACGATATCTAGCATATAATAATCTTTTTAATTCAGCTTACTATATAATGCTTCCTAAAACATATAAAGATGATGAGTGTTGGGATTTTAAGAAATTTCATAGAAATTTCGAGTTTTAGATTTTAAACTTCTTCAGTTTCAAACTGTCTTTATTATCTTAAAACAAGAACATGTTTGTTAAATATATTGTTAAAACTTTGTGTATATGTTAACTCATACAGCTGTTTACTTTTCACTGTTTAATGATTCAATCATCTCATAACTGTATCCAGTGTAAAAAGCTGCTGTTACTACACAACAATATATTTTTATGTATATTTTTAAATAAGCACCTAATCCTTGTTTACACTGCCACGAATATCTCAAAACAGTGTTTGTGGGTAAATCATTATTATGCTCCCTTTTCCCGATGCTCAATGATCTCTCTCGGATCGAACCCACGCTATCGAATGAATTCTCAATAATGAGAGTTTCTAATGATTAAAATGGATGAATTGCTCTCTTCAGCGGGTAAATTAACCTCTCTAGGTACCAACATTGAATTTGTGGAAATTTCGATTTTAAACTTCTTGAGCTGTTCTGTTAGCATTTCCCGTAAATTGACCACGGGAAATACTAACAGAACAGCTTAAGGAGTTTAAAATCGAAAAATCGAGATTTCCATAAATTCAATGTCGGTACCAAGAGAGATACAGCGACTTTGGACTTTTCGACTAAAATCCATGAATTTTAGACTTTGACAGACTTTAGCAGTTCATTAAAGCAGTTCAATTGAAATCGCATAGCCGATGCTCCATCATAAGTTTGCGGTATTACTATATTTCAATATAGTAAGACTAGTATCAAGACTGATAGTCAAGACTAATATCTTTCTCTATTTGGTGCAGAAACTTTT